TGTTTCATTTTTTACTAGTTCTTTCCTTTGTTAGTAAGTTTCAGTGGAGTGATTTCCATGGTGCAGTTTGAGGAGAGACCTGGCCATTTAACAAATAAAGCTTCACTTGAAATAGTGGAGCTTCTTGCATAGGAATTCCCCAAGGTAGCATGTTTAGATGCAGGAAAAGCCTGCCATCTAAAGCAAGTGTGTGTGCGGTTTGTGGGTCTTGCAAGTTATTTAATGGACAATGTCCAAGGCTTGACTTTAGTGTTTGGCTTCATTGAAAGTTATTTCTAGGAAGTAAGCTTGTTTGCTTATGCATTTTATTTATTTATTTATATAATATTTATAAACTAGCCTTCATTAAAATATATCACAAAAATGTGTGTGTGTGTGTGTGTGTCTGTGTGTTCTTGCACATATATATAAATAAATTGCATACCTATGCAACACTGCTACTTTGAGTACTTTGCAGAATAAATACTTTTGCAAAAATAATCATCAAATTAAAAGGCAGTGAAAATACAGTTTGGTATAAACCTACCATCTTAAAATGTCCGAGCAAATAATAACAAATTGATCAAAGCTGAAATGCTTGAAAAGACAGCCTCAGTTAGGCTTCTGTAGGACAGGTGTTCTATTAACATTATGTCACAATCAAGAGAGCTCTCTTCTCCTCACACATAATGTGTATCAGCTGAACTGTTTTGGTTAGTGGTTAAGGCAGCAGGCTAGAAACCAGGAAACCGGGAGTTGTAGTCTTGCCTTGGACATGAAGCCAGCTGGGTGACCTTGGGCCAGCCACACACAAACAGCCCTAGAAAGGAGGCAGTGGCAAACTGTTTCTGAAATCTTGCCAAGAAAACTGTGGATATTTATCCAGGCACTTGCCAGGAGTCAAAAGCAGACTTGATACCCCAGTCCTGGCTTAAATAAGCCTTATCAAGGCAATTCTAGGTACATGCCATGTGTTCTTGCCATCCAGTCCAAAAGCTACTAGATCACTGGATACTGTGACCATACTATTCCTGTTGTCCTGTCTAAACAGCTGTCTATGTGGAGGAAAACCACTTAGTGCTGCCAAATTATCTGATGACCCTGGCTCCAGAGGTATTCCCAAGTCAGGCAGATGAAATTTTTCAACTTAATGGTCTCTTTAGTCCCAGCCAAATGATAAAGAGTGCTATTTTTCTTTCGGAATAAATAAAGGTAGTTTTTAAAACAATGCTTAGTTAATACAGATAGTCCTTGACTTATGACCACATTTGGGTCGTAAGTCTGTTGCTAAGCAAAGTGGTTGCTAAGTGAATTGTGCCTAATTTTCTGATCTTTTTTGCCACAGCTGTTAAGTAAATCATGTGGTCACTAAGCAAATCCAGCTTTCCTCGTTGACTATGCTTATCAGAAACTGGCTGGGGAAGGTCAGAAATGAAGATCACATGATCCCGGCATGCTGGAACCATCATAAATGCATGCTGGTTGCCAAGCACCCAAATTTTCATCAAGTGGCAAGGGGATGCCGCAATGGTTGTAAGTGTGAGAATTGGTTGTAAGTTAGTTTTTAGTGCTATTGTAACTTTGAACGGTCACTAAATAAGTGATTGTAAGTTAAGGACTACCTGTAAATTGCAATGCCTTGGGTTACTTGTTATGTCAAGCCATAAACTGGTTGGCTTCACACATTTATTTTACTCCAGAAACCGCAAACCATATGATGATTTAGCATGGTATAAATCCAGAAATGAGTTTTCTAAAATTCTTCTCATTACTGTAGATTGGATTTTTGAGTTTGCAGATGTTTGTGGATGTAGTCTTGCAAACTTTGGAGTGCATGCTTTTTTTTGAGTGACTGAATGGACAAAACTAAATAGGAATAGTCGGAGAATGGCAGTTGCAATATGGCTAACCTTGTGTCAGCATTAGTTTGCGATTCTGTAACTAACAACTAGTATAATGAGTTCAAGTGGCACATTATTTCAGCAGTAGTGCATCTAACCATTCAACGTTTGCATACCTTCCTTCCTAAGTAGTATCTCATGGTCATTCACAATCATGCTCTTTTACAAAAAGAAAAGGTGGAAAACTATTGTAATATTTTAGTAGTAATGCTTTCTGTATAACTGCATCTTTATTTCTCACGTGGCTGGCAAGGTTTTCATGTCTAGATTAAAGTTATATATAATAAACTAAGAAGAAGCATATATCTCTGCAGTACCGATTGGTTTGTTGTCAGCTTTGCTGCCTGCTCATATGGTCCTGACTGTCTTAATAGAAAAGAGCTCACATCAAATAATTTTTGCAATAACTGCACTGGATCTGCCCATTTCTGGCAGTTGATGTAAGGCACAACTCTGTACCACATGACAGGCCTTGCTGGTGAGAATTATTTTAATTATGTATTTGATGGATTATAGGGCCACCCACGTCAAACAATGTGACTCTGGGTGGTGTAGAGCGAAAAGCAAACAATAAACCAAAGAAATAACCACATAACTTTCAAAAACCTAGCCAAAATATAAATTGATGACCAAACCTGATAATTAAACAACCAAAAGGGGACTCCATTCAACTGGATCCAAACACCTAAAGAAAAAGCCAGGTCTTAATAGCTTTTCTGAAAGCAACCACAGTTGGGGCTTTTGATGTATTGGAAGCAAGATCATTCCAGAGCACAAGAACAGCCACTGAAAAAAGCAAAATTGTAAATTCCATTGGGTGACAAAGTCTAAAAGATAGATCCTGTAGCATATCCTGCCTAGGGATTGGATGTTCTTGGGAGAAGAAAGTCCCACAGGTAACCTATTCCTATGCTATGTAAGCTTTAAAGGTGACAACCAGCACCTTCAATTGCATCTGAAAGCCTGTTGGAAGCTGAAACAGCTTGTAGAGTAGCTGTGCCACATGGGTATAAATGAACTGCTTTCCATAACTACTTTACCACTGCTTTCTGAACCAACTATAGCTTCTGCGTGGTCTTCAGGGACAAGGAACTCACCTCAGAGAAAGGAGGCAAACCAATGTCCTCCACTTCCAGCTCCCTCAACCAGTCCAGATGGATGCTATGTTTGATGGTATCGAAGGCCACTGAGACATCAAGGAGAGCCAGAGGCACAGATGTCTATAAAACATGCAGCACTGTACTTTGGAGGACCATTAAACCTTTTTGAACTTTCCATTTCAAAGAATGTTGAGATTCTGCTATGGCCAATGGAAGTGGTGTGGTAAAATTTCAGTGTTGTGGCTGCATCAGAGACCCAACTTTCTTTTTCAGCTTGAATGGGATACAGTTTAATGGTCCTCAGAAGTACATTGCAGCTATGAGGAAATATCTTAATTTTCTCCCCAATTGTGTATTTGAAACTAGGAAGAAAGCAAGGGATTATCCTTGACTTCATAATAGAAAAAGTACTCCATTATCCAGATATTTCTCTCTCACACTTATCCTCACTTGACCTAGGTGGGAATAATACTTTGGCAATAGGAACAAATGACTGTATTTCTTACCTGGCCTCCTGATTACAACCTCAGTTCATTCTGTTTTGAAATTTGAATCTTGGTATTTTTAGACATGTCTGGAGTTTTATGTCTAAAGGTGTTAAAAAAACAGTATGACCTTTACTCTCTTTTTTTTAAAAGGACACTTTATCCCCATATTAATCTCAAAGCCTCTTCTCTCTTTGTTTCTGAATTCTTTTTTTTTGGGGGGGGGAGGATTTTCCACTAAACTGAAGAGAAAAAGATGGAACTATTTCTTTCCTGTTTTCTTATCTATTTTTTCTTGTAAATCAGAGCAATTTAACCTTATAACCACCCAGAGTCGCCTTTTGATAAGATGAGCAGCAAATAAATTAATGATAAATAAATAAATTTTACGAGGTAAAAAACCCAGACATCCAGGCCACAAATTTTGTTCTGGAATTCTGACAGTGGCTAATATTAAATTATGCCATCATTTGTCACTTTTGATAATTCTTTTCTAGTCCCAAAGGATATGTATGTTCCTTTCCATTCATCCCGAATTTTCTGCAAATAATTATCTTTCTCTTTTCAAGTTTTTAAATAAAATTCCTTTTCAATGTAACTCTTTATTTCAAGAATCCATATGAATTCATCTCATAGGAGATTGCATTGAGATGAACTAATACGTACCAACTCAAGTTAGCATAATTAAAATGTATTTAGATATAGATGGATTCTGCTTCTAGAGCAAGAATGGGAAATCTCTGGCCCACAGGTTGAAGGCCATACAACGGAGTTTCCCATCTAGGTACTTCTTGGTCCATCTTTGCTAAATTAAATCCCATTCACTAAAGCCAGAAAGGAGAAAAATAACTGTTCTTCTCTGTATAACTAACAGAACTGATGGATTTTTTTTCCCTACTGGCTGGTTTTCAGCATCTCTCCCACTGATGTGAATAGAAAGTGTTTCAAAGACTAATTGTCAGGGAGAGGGACATTTTCAAAGAAAAGAGATTATAGTTCAAACCCCTTGAAAAATCACCTCTTCCTACTTGCTCACTGCAACTGGACATTAAAATAGTCAAGTGATCAAAATTCAAAATGCTTGACAACTTGCATGTATTGACAAAGGTTGCAGCATCCTGAGGTCATGTGATCATTATTTGCAACTTTCTCAGCTGCCTTCCAACAAAGTCAAGAGGAAAGATAGATTCACTTAACAACCATGTGATTCACTTAACAACTACAACAATTTGCTTAACAACTGTGGCAAAATGGGCTAACTAAAATTGGCATGATTCCCTTAATAGTTGCCTTGCTTAGCAATGGAAATTCTAGCCCCAATTTTGGTTATAAATCAAGGACTACCTGTATTCTAGAGTTTATTTGTGCAGATGGATTCTCTGTGGCTGTGGAGAATGCTATTTGGGGACCCTGAAGTGATCCCATCTACTTTACAGCCTGTGGAGACTCACTGGAGCAAATTTAAGCTTTAATTTGAAATGAGTCTCCTAGCATTGCCCAATATACATTGTGTTATCAGGTACTTCTTGCTAAGCAAAGCAACACATGGGAAAATACAGCCAAAGGAAAAAGAGGAAAACAAACTCTTTATAATCCCTGGTTTGGAATTGTAAATATTTTTTATTTCTCCCTTAGGGAATGGTTCATGGAGGAGAGGAGACAAATATGATCTTGAAGCAAAGCAAGCATACTCATCCCTCCAGACAATCACACTACTGAGAACATTGAAACCCGAATTTGAAAAGTTTTCTATGGAAGTGAAAAGTTCTGTTCAGAAACAAGGAATCCATCATGATGACTATGTAAGTACCTGATTAAGAGCATCAAGATTTTAGCATCTCTAAAATACTACTTGAAATAAATCAGGGGCGACATTGTGGTCTTTTCTAAACTGAATCAAAGCCTACTTCTATTAGTATTCCCATTTCCTTGCTGTAGAAAATTGCTGTTTATTCACAGTCATTTTCAGTAGAGCTACTATTATCAGTAAAATGGGTAGCATAAAAATAAATAAATAAATAAATAAATAAACTTTGTTTTTATTTATTTTCTAGAAGTGGGACTTCTAAGGTATGAAGTCGGGAAAGGATAGAGTCCATAACTCATAGTGTTTTTCTAGTTCCATTTTGTTCTTTGTTTTCTTTTTGCTCCAATGTTATCAAATTACCTGGGACACCTGTCTCCAAATACACCTGCAAACTTCTCAGTGATCACAGAAGAACTTGTGCCAGAACATAAAAGATAGGAGAGAAAATTACCTCAAATGTGCTAGGTCCAAGGGAGATGTATGGGTGGTCCCACCCAGTATGCTGTTACCACCGTACCACGCCCACCCAATGGGCCACACCCACCCGGCACTCAACAATGCATAAGTGGGTTTTGGGTTGCAGTTTGGGCACTCGGTCTCTAAAAGATTCGCCATCACTGAACTAGATGTTTCCACCATTTAATAGCTTCTACAAGTTCTATGTATTGTTGGGGCTTCTCTTGTGTTCATGAAGATAGAGCATTATAAATTGGGTAGCTTACTGTTTGACTTGCTTTGTGAAGCTACGTCCCTTCATACCCCTTCATACTTTGGACCAGCTCCTATAATCTGAGCCCCTATGGCTTATATTTAACCAGATAACAAGGATAAGGATGGTAGGTTCATATTTATGGATTTAAATGTATTTTTATTATTACTCAGTAGTGAAGTGCAATAAAATATAATAAATGACATCCGTGTATGATAAATATATTTTAGATAATCATTTAGTAAATAATTGACTCAATAACAGTGACAATGGGTGCATCATTTGAAGATCTGAAGAATCAGATTGTCCTGAAAAAATTCTGTTAATGTGGTTGTTAAGAGGTGACACTGACTTGATGTCTCATAATCAGTAAACAGTTTAAAGAATACTTCAATAAATAACAGATTTCAAATATTTAAAATTAAATGTAACCTGTTGTCCATTTTTGCTACTAGAAGACCATTGTGTGATTTTCCTTGGCTTTGTATTTGATCTCCCAAATAGGCTGTATGACAGAGAAAGTGGTTAAGATTTTAAAACAACATCTGTCTCAGAGTTTTTGCCTATTCCAAGGGGTTGAGATGTAGTCCCTGTTATTTCACTTTCCCCATAAATATAATCTCTTTGGAGCTTCTTCAGGTGTAAAATTTTATGTCAGCCAAAGTCTTTCATTTGCAGATAATGGAAGAAATTGCTTGAAAGTAAAAACCACCTTATGTAGACGACACAAAAGATTACTCTGGCACAGTATATCTAAGCATTTCTGATGCTGCTCAGATGCGAATCATTTTCACTTGTAATCTTTCAAATCTGCCATAAAACAACCTGGATGTAAATTAGCAACAAAAGAGAATCTAAAGGCTACCCCTCCCCCCTGAACTGTGACTATTTCTCCTGACTCTTTTTTAGCAAACAAGAAAAAAAGAGGGGGGGTGTTTCCTGACTCAGCCAAAGACATTAGTATTTATATAGTGACAGAACTGGCCACTTAGGACATGCTTCTTAAAAATTGGGCTTCAATTAGATCAGCAGTTCTCAACCTATGGATCGCGACCCCATTTGGGGTCGATTGACCATTTCACGGGGGTCGCCAAGCAAGGCTGTCCGCCATTTTTTTTCCCTTTTCCGGCGGGTGCCTTACCTCCCTTGGGCTGGGCCAGCTGGTGGTCGGCCTGCTCCGTCTCTGCCGCTTGCCAGCTACGCCTCGGCCGGCGCAGGGGGCGGAACCACGCATGCGCGGCGCTCCTGGGCAGGGAAAGTCCTCGACTTACGACCGGTTGGGTAGTCCTCGACTTACGACCGGTTTAGTCCTCAACTTACGACCAGTTTAGTCTTTGACTTACGACCGGTTGGGGGTCGCGGCATTAAAAAGGTTGAGAACCACTGAATTAGATCTTTTCTTTCTAATTGCTATTAGTAACTAGTTTAAATACCAAACTGGTAGGAAAAGGCTTGAAATGAATCTACCTATAATTTTTACAGAAAGAAAAAGATGGCAGTTTGGAATCCCACATCTAACAATTTGGATTAAAGCAGTGAATATTATCCTGCAACATTATCCAGGGACACATATATTTGCCTTCATTCATAAAGCAGTGAAAGCCATCTACCGTACAACGCTGTAGATTTATACTACAGATAGGCCTCAGTCTATGATTGTGATGAGGCCTGCCCATCATGGCCATAAGTCATGACAATCATAAAACGGGCCGTCCCTTCATCAACCCAATTTTGCGACCTTTTTTGCAGCAGCTGTTCAGCAGACGTTGCAATCATTAAGCAAAAACCATTGTTGAGCAGACCAATGGTTCGCCAAGGGCTGGTTTTGATGAAAAACAGAAGTAAATGCTGGTGTTCAGCAAAAATATTGTAAAATTATCTGACCACAAGATGCTGCAAATGGCTGAAAGTGCCAAGCACCTAAAATGCAGTCACGTGACCACAGAAGGGAGGTGGCTATTGGGAGTTTGGAACCAGGTGTAAGTACCACCTGTGGTCACAAGCCGAGGACTAACTGTGTAGCTCCACTAGCATTAAAATTGTTTACTTTATTATATTAAATAAGAAAGTGTCATACATTATTATATTTTTTGTGATGCTGGTTTATGTTGTATATAATTTTGTTTTCAGCTCCATTATGCTATGTCAGGGGTAGGCAACCTTGGCTCTTTTATGACTTGTGGACTTCAACTCTCAGAATTCCCCAGCGTGGCTCAGCTTGGAAACCTCTCCCTTTCCCCTCAGCGTGGCTGGCTCAGGAATTCTGGGAGTTGAAGTCCACGAGTCATAAAAGAGCCAAGGTTGCCTACCCCTGTGCTATGTTGTTGTTGTTGTTATTATTATTATTATTATTATTATTATTTAATTAATTAATTAATTAATTAAATTTATATACCGCCCTATCTCCCTTATGGGATTCAGGGCGGTGAACCGGCGATACTAAAAACCACGATAAATATACA